GCGGTGAATCTGAAGCAATATTTAAAAGGGACGCGTCTTCAGGAGGAAAAAAAAAAAGAAGTTCTAAACCGATGTGTCATTTCTGGTACAAAAACCCTGCAAACACAAACTGATAAAACGATTGTAGGTAGATAGGCGCAGGGGGTTCTGTTCTATATTTAGAGACTGGCTCATGCAGGAGAGTGAAACCAGCTCCTCTCTCTCTCTCTCGATCCTCCTCTGAGAGATGCAGTAATTAAAGGAGGGAAGCTGTGGACAGAGAATGAACACCTGTCTCCAGCAGAAAGACAAGAGGGAGATGGGGAGAAAGAGGAGAGGACAGAAGGAGGGCAAGAGGGGGGAGATCTATTATTGCCAGAGTGAGGTTCACCTCCAGCAGACAGAGTACAGGACCCGCAGACAGAGGAAGGTGGATCTGAACGGGGAGAGAGAGAGATTCGGGGGTCACGGGGAAGAGCTGCCACACCCTGACCGCCAGAGGAGCGCCAGACAGGGAAGCAGCCGGCGCGAGGGGAGGGAGAGGAGGGGCGAGAGAAGGGAAGGAGACAAAGGGTCACCTTGAAGCCTGGAGAATGAAAAGTAAAACAGAAGGAAAAGGCCATATGGAGGAGTGTCACCTTGGATACCGAGAGATGTTGGGAGAAGATGAAAGGGCCGACAGGAAACTGGGTGAGGGAGAATCTCGCTAGTCACCGCAACAACAACAGCGACAGAAGCGTTCGCACTGCCATTACTTCAGTGCGCCGGTTTTTAAAATTCCTCATTTCTTTTTTTTTTTTAGCACGCACATTTTGCATGGATCAATCGGTTTTATTCCTCTTTGCTTTCTCGTGCTGTGCAATGTCCCGCACGAGGCTGCTTCCTGGGAGCCCAGCGGGTGGGTTTAGAGTGAAGCACCGCACTCGCACAGCAGGTCCACCATCCACAGCCACGAGCGCGGAGACGAGGTGAGCTGTGGCAGCACGGCCCGTTCCTACGGGGACAGGGACAGAGGGACCTTGATCTGGTGCCCCGCGGCTCATGCAGGGCGATGCCCACCAGACACACGGGCAGATGTGGGCCTTGAGCTGGAAACTGCTTTTCATAAGCCCCTTACCTGGCCAGAACAAGGCCACACCCTCTCATGCCCTTGTCTAGACGGCTGAATTTTATTCTCCAGGCTTGGGTACGGCTGAGCCATTCCTCGGCTTAAATCCTAATCAGTTTTGTAACCCAGTAGGGGAAAATGAAATGGCTTCAAACCGAACTCCTGCTGCACTTGTGTGCCTTGCATGATGATTTCTGATCGGCCCTTGAACAGCCACACAATCGCTGCAGGAATATTGGCAGAAGTACTGTAAGCAGTGAAAGCTGCTCGATTAGAAAAACATGGTGGCAATTAACAGAAAGTATCGCCGGTGATAACTGCCAACGCAGATCTGCCTTGGGTGGGCAAGGGGCAGTTACTAGTGCAATACTCGCCCTTGGAAACTGCTGCTCATTCCCTGCCAAACAGCTGCCTCCACTGCATTTGCACATTAATTGCTGACAATATGGCTGTAGGAATTTCAGGGCAATTCTGTTGGGTTTTTTTTAACTGAGAAAATCAGTAAATTGGCTGATTTTTCTCCCCTTACCCTTCTCAACAACAACAAAAAAAAAAGTACAGCCTGGACATCTCACAAACTTCCACGGCCACTCCGGGTCATTGGGCGGTGTGGCCAACGTCACCGCCCGCCGTCTGCGCCCAGAGAGCGGGCCTGCAGGTGCTGGAAAAAGAAGAAAAAAACTGTCGTGAGCCAACCTCCCGACCAGCTCGGAAAGGGGGCCCGTGGCTTCTGCTGGAGGAGCAGGCCGACAGCAGAAGGCCTCTGCTGCCCGCGGGCGCCGGCCGTGCCCGAGGAGACGCACACACAGGCGAAGCAAAGAGCTCGCCCCAGCGGCACGTACTTCTGACTGCAGACGTGAGGAGGGAGCAAACCACAGCCCCCCCCCACTCTCCCCCTCTGCCCACGGACGTGAGCTGCAGTGTCAATAATGAATGTAAAACTCTGCAGCCCAAGCTTCTTAAATCTGAGTCCCCCAAGACACCACCTCCTCCCCTCTCCTCCCCGGACTCCCCCACCCCCCCTCCTTCCAGCAAGACATTAGGGAGACATTTCTCTCTAAATCAAAGCAGGCAGGCTCAGGAGTCAGGACGGGATTTTTGTACAACGTGGTTGAAATTACAAATCGTATGGAAAAAAAAAAACCTCAGCAGAAGGTGAGGCAGTGAAATTCAATCCAGGCAGATACAGGTTTGAGTCACAGGCGGGGAGCCGAACTGCCCAGGAGCTGTGCTCTTTCAGAGAGTAAGCATGGCTCTTGATTTTGGAGCAGCCCCATTCCTGAAGCCCGTCCCCTTGTCACTGGTCACATTTCTCAGAAACACGACTCTTGGGAGATCCCCAGAGCTCGGCCGAACACCAACACATCCACTCCGCAGGCGCTGTAAAGACACCAGCCTGTGCACAAAGTCTTCCCATCGCGTCTCTGAACGTCTGGAAGATTAAAATTGGAAGAAAGGTCTTATGATGAGAGCAGGCCACTCCGCCCATCACAGCTTTCCCACACTGCTCACTCTGACGGGGCCCAGTCAGGCTCCATCAGCTTCCACAGTCTCCCTGATCACTCTCGGTGCAGTACACTCCTCTCCCCCGGTTCGCCTGCACCTCGACTTATCTCAAGTGCAACAGAAAAGCAGGTAAACATGAGACACCATTGCTCCAAGGCAGTCTAATTCTTTTCAGCTCCATTTAGGGGGAAAAAAAAACAGCAGGGACTTCGTATTCCCAACCCTTCTCCGTGTTTTGCAGTCTTTTCCCTTATCGATGGACATCGAGTTAAATGAACTTGAAACATTTCTGCTATGCTTTGCCCAAGAACATGCATCTCACGGTATTGAACAGGGCAATGGGACAGGGTGGGAGCCCGAGGCGTTTCCCTGGAAAGAAGTGAGCAAAACGCAGCACAGCACCCACCACTCTCTGCGTAAAGAAGCGCGTCCAGTCCATCGAGACATGCCAGTATGCCTGCAGTCAAACTCCACCCCTGGTTGTGGGGTCTCTGGCTTTCAACCCAACTAGGCTCCCAGCTCCTTGACCGACTTAACTGATCTAGTTATTGTCTCAGTTGCACACATTGGAAAAACAAATCTAACAATTACAAGGTCCTGTGCACGGTAGCGAATACAAAAAAAACTAAGATGCTCCTTGTTTTCGGGGATTTCCAGCTAGGAACCCAGTGTAAGGCCAGGAGAGTGAGGGGCGTGAAGTCTGAACAGTGGATGTATCTCCGCTCCTTCGGTGCCAGGCTGGACAGACCTGCAGTCCGGTCACTCAATGCACCTGGAGGAGCGTCAGTGTCCACTGGGGCTCAGCCCGCCCGCTGACCTTGGCGGGCCGATTGCGGTATTTAACCTCTCTGGACGACCGGACTAACCTGAAGGCGCAGGCGCCCGCCGTGGTAAAGAAGCCCCCCGCACAGCTGCAGCGTCTCGCATCGAGCGCGGAAAGTCTGAAAAACCGGAGGACCCCTGGGACCCCGTCAAGCCTCGTCAGACCGATCCTCCCAGCTGGTGGGACACCCGAGGGCCCGGCCGGTCTCCTAGCTGTAGGCGAGGTGGTACACACCGTGACCCAGTTCTTACCCAGGGGGGCCTCAGTCCAGGCTTCACCTTTATTCCTTCCCAAGACCTCAGACACAAACCAGGAGCTGGCCGCAGACGGGCGAGAGGAAGGCCGCCCCACCTCCGGGTCTTAGGGTCTTACTGATCCGCTCTCGCCAAGGGGTTTCTCCAGGAATCCCCAAGATCCGGCTCCTCCTGAAATGCCCTCCCCCGCCGGCTGCAAAACCCTCTCCCGTCTGCAGTCTCCCGCCTCAGCGTGCAGCCCGAACCCTGATCGTGCATTCTGAGAGCGAGCAAGAGCTTCCCCGTCCTGACCCGCGCGCGGCTACGTCCACACCACAGGTCCTCATCAGTCCTCTGTATCCCCCCGCAAAAGTTCAATTAAAACAAAATATAATGGGATTATTTTCCCCCCCCATTTACCGCCGTGCAGCTTGACATTTGTTTGGGTAACGATTGGATATTTGACATTTAATTTCCCGGACTCGGCCGTTCAAGGCTGGAGATGTACAGTCATGTAAGCCCTGCCAAGGAGCCGTCTTCTCTGGGGGGGGCGGGGGGGGTTAACAGGAAGGAAATGAAGCCCCCCGTCACAGCTGCAGCCCCGTCTGATTGAAAACCGGGCCGCTGACGAGCCGGGCTGCGTCCTCGGAGCCGGCGCTGGGCGGCCAGAGCTCGCGCAGATAAGGACCCCGCTGCCCGGCCGCGGCATACTCGCGCGCAGACGTCCCGGCGAGAATGCGTCATCTTTTAAACTGTACGTCTGTCCATTATTTAAGAATGTTAACTAAACCAACGAGCTTGAAAGATCAAGATGCCTGGTGAGTTATAAGAATACAGATCTGGATCTTACTGCTTTCCCATGAAGGCCTCATCCAGTTCTCCGCGCCGTCTTCCCTCAAGCGGAATATATTTACACAGCAATGAGGCGCCCAGCGTAGAAAAGTCCAGCAGCTTGGGCCGGCCTGTGGCTTCCTGCTCACGATAGAGCCCAGAACGCGCCGAGCTGTTGTGCATTGCAAGCCTTTCTTCTAGACCCGCGTGCCAGACAGCTGGGGAAAGAAATGGCACTTATTGACGATTGAGGGGCAGGCCAGTGGTATCGTAAGCTAATCCAAAGGTGTGGATACATGATTCAGTCATCCCCAGAACTAGGTGGGCTAGAACCCATTGGGGCTCAGTGCAGGAGACAGGCCTCTGAGCAGCGCTCGCGGTGGCCGCAGACAGAGTTCGGGTTTCGGGGGGGGGGGGCCCCCCGGACAGCAGCCTGAGCCCCCCCAGCCACGGACGGAGCAGAGCAGACAGCAGACAACAGGCCGCACTGCCCGCAGCCAGCCCCTCCCCATGCCTCACGCAAGCCCCCCAGCCCCGCTGACGGCCTGACACACGCAGCAGCGGCGCTTGATCACTCACTCACTCCCTCCTAACGACAGCCAGGAGCTGTTCCTCCCACCAGGAGATCTCGGAGCACCGGATGTCACTTTACAAGCACCGAAGCAGACATGCACACGCATGAGTGATACAGGTGCGCTGGGAGGGTGGTGGAGCGGAGATATGGAGTATTGTTTTTCCTGTCATAATTTTATGTATTTATTCCATTTTTATTTCCAAGATCCTGGGGCACTCAAAATTCACTTCCCCTTCATTACAGGGATAGCACAGTTCCCGCTGGCTTTGCCTCAGTGTGAGCAGACAGTGGTGAAGTGCCGTGTCCCTGGGCTAGACTTCATTAGCTGCGGGCAACAGCACAGTGCAGTGCCTATCAGCTAGAGCCAGGTGTCTGCAAGCAGCATGTGTCGGCTGGGCCTTTATAGCTACAACGAAAAAGACAAAGAACATCTGTTGATAGCAGCTCAAGACCAGTACAGTACCCACAGGCTATGTCACAGTAAATAGAAATTGGTACAGTACCATTGGCAATATTGCCGCACCTATAGACATCAGGATAAAGGACATTAATATCTTAGTTCCTATAGCAACAGCACACTACAGTAATTTCTGCTTACATCTCAGTGCCTGCAGATGATAAAACAGTACCAGCTGGTTATACCTCAGCAGCTATGGATAACCGAGTGAAATAATTATTTCATGTGCCTCATGATAAGAGCTACTGGATACCTTAGTGCCTATAGGTAACAAAGGCAGCAAAGTATGATAGGAGAGATTAAAAACACGTCTGTCAGTACTTAATAACCAGGAGGATTGCAAAAGAATAATTCGGTTCTAATTTACCTTCATTTAAACGAACAAAATGGATCAGTTATAGGGGTCAAGATTGAACACAACTGTGAAACCTGGACTGAGCCGGTCCAGGGATGGAGACTGTAGCTGTTGATATAAGCACAGTAACACATTACCACTATAACACAGTACTTCTAGACAGTAACACACCACTGCAGCAGCTCTTCACTAGGATATGGCCTTCCAGGTTTTCAAGGTTAGTCCGCACCAGAACTGCTTGCTTTCAAGTGTCTCCTTCTCTCTAAAACAAACCGATCCACTAGAGAGATTGTCTCTGAAGAGCCTCTTCATTCTGTACAGAAGAAAGAGGAGTGACGGGCTCATTATTTTCTTGCAGAGTCCCTGCTATGCGTCGCCCGCTTGCCAGTGGAACACCAGCATTTTAAATCAGACACAATTAACACATCTGATTGTTCCTTGTCCATTCCAGCCATTTCCATCTGCCTACCCCAACAATGGGCGCATCTCAGGAGAGAGGGTCTTTATCTTATTAGGAGCATTGTGTCGAGTGGGGCAGCACACTGATTACACCCTCCTAACAGCCAGCGTAACACCATCTCTCCCCTTTGAAGAACGCAGAGCAGATTTCAACACATTTCATCACCAGGTATCTGTAATTAAATTACGGAACGGAGGCGTTTTAACAAGGCTAATTAAACCTTTGAAGGGAGAGAGAAGGGGGTAGGAATAAACAGACACAGCCAGCTCTCGGCACTCCTCGGTACACCAGGCAGAAGAGAACTGATACACACAGTAAAATGCAGTGCAGACAGTAGTGGGGCTCCAAACACCTACAGTACATCGCAGGACACTCATTCAAGATTACCTTAAACTTGTGCCAGCAGCCTCCCCAGCTGGCAGCCCACTGGAGCTCAGCAGGAGCGAGCCTGGCCAGTAGCTGGACAGGAAATCTCCTGGTAAAGCTGAGGCTGCTGCTGGGAGGTGTTAGTGGGGCCAGTAGGGGGCACTGTGGTCTGTGTGGGTCCTAATGCCCCAGTACGGTGACGGGGACACTGCACTGTAAAAAGGCGCTATCCTTCAGATGAGACATAAAACCAAGGTCCTGACTCGGTGGTTATTAAAAATGGCCTACACACAAAGAGAACAGCACCTTAATGTCACTGGCGTGTTGGAGCCCAGTTCACTTCTGTGGTGACCATCCTGATGGACTCCAGTGAGACAGTGTGGCACAGACTGGCAGAACAGGACACTGGGGACAGCAGCCCAGTCCAGAGGGAGCTACAGGTGTGATGGACACCAGTGAGACTGACAGAACAGGACACTGGACACAGCAGCCCAGTCCAGAGGGAGCTCCAGCT